ATAAATCCAAAACCAAACCTCAACCTTAGATTAGAAACTGCCAGAAGAAACACAACTGAATACCAACTAAAAATGATTTTTTTCAGCCACACAAGCATAATCTTAAAGAAAAAGAAACCACCTCATACACAGTGTCATCCAAAGACTGCTTCTGCGGAGATCCCAGCTACGTGATGCTGTCTGCCCAAACCAGCTAAACTGCAGAAGAAGCAATAAAAACAGAGAAATGCCTTCCTAATGTTACTTCGCACAAAATTAATAGCTGTGGCTGACACCTGATGCTGCCAGAGATGTTAGGTGATCACAAAGAACAAGAGTCATGACCTCGGGTAGAAGGTAAGATAGTAACACAGCATTACCCATCATTCTGAAGCCATGAAAAACCCTGCTGCTGTAGCACAGGGTGCTATATTTAACATACTAACATGAAGGACCCTATTATCTAAAAAAGGCAAGGCAAACAAGTCTATTTTTTAGCAACAATATGAAGCATCACAAAAAAAGAGCTTGGATTTCACCGTTTCTTTAGCTAGCAAGGCTGCAAAAGCTAAAACCACATATTTGTGGCACAACAAATTCTCACCTTACTCAATTGTGACTCTCCAGCAGTTTTTGTAGTTGGGAGGAATTGCCTAGCTTTCTTCCTTCCCAGGACGTCAGCCACAAAGTCATGACAGTGCAACATACAGGATATGATACTACGCTTCACTGGGCAGTCCCAGGTATAAGGAGACTTCTCCTTAAACCACTATATCCTGTCACCTTATGCTAGATGCTCCACAGAGAACAAAGTATAGCACACAGATGTTTTCAATATATAACTGAACAATCTAATTTACATTAAGGCTTTACAACATTTTACATCCTAAAACCTAGCTTCTTCAGTTGCTCCTGACTTCAGCAAACTTAATCCAAGATAAAAAAAACACTTATGCTGGATGCCTGCCCCAAGCAGAATGAGGTAAACCAGTTGAGAAAGAAAAAGCAGTTTTGTGTCCAGCACATTTTGAAGAAGTGACGACTCCTCTTTCAGAGTTACTCTAGTTGCCTTCAAATTTTGATAGTTAGGGTTTATATATTTTTATATATATATTTATATATACATATATACATACACACTTAGCTACTTAAAACCTAGTCCTTATCAACATATAAACCCACTTAAATGTGCCTTTAACATATGGCTCTGGGAAAAAAAAGGCCAAAAATCATCACCAACAGCTCATATAGGCTGAGTCTATAAAAAGATACTTTTCTTTTAACATGTCATTCTCCACTACTCAAGAGCTGACTGACTCAGTACACAGCATTCTCATAGAGAAACTGAACGTACTCTAAGTGATCTAAAGCACACAAAGCACATATATTAACTAGTACTCCTTTATCTATGCAAACTTCCTGCTAGTAAGAGGACAACATGAAGATGGAAAGCATACAATCTGAATGAAAGGCTCCAACAAAGGGGGAGAAGGTGTAAGACAAACATAAAAGTTTTATAAAGAACTAGAGACGAAAGAGACATAGACCGGCTGGGTAGAGAAATTCAGAGCGTGGCTCATTTGGCTCATTTCTGCAGCCCTGTGTCTCCCAAAGCAGAGGAAAGCCTGGATTCTTGGAGTCTGTTCCAAGTGTCTTTGTTCTTCCCACATCGATGAACTCACTGGCAAAACATCCATGTCCTCCAGTGCTAGGCTATTTCCTACTACCACTGGCAGTACTACATTAGTTTAAAAGGCAAAGGTCTATGCAAATATGTTTCAACCCAACAGATCACCCACGCTGGTAGCAGCAAGAAGTCATACCATGCTGTTATGTTTGCACTAGTTTTATTTTTAACATCTAGAGCATTAGGGCTGCAAACTCATAGAAAAATTAAGAAAAGCTACAATTAACACTGCTTTGTGCAACCTCCATCCACTGCTTCATGAACTTGTTCAGACTGCATGTACGTAAATTCTAACATTTTATGCTCTCAAGACAGGCCTTCTGTAGAAATGAACTGGGACAAGAAATAAACAAGAGAATGTCTGTTCTACCCTTAATGTCCTACTGGCTTGGAAAGTTAAAGGAACTGAGATACCTATGAAGCGTGAGACTGCAAAGAGAAAAGGCAAAACAAACCCAGAGAGTAAGGCCACCAAAAGCTAGCCTTGCCACTGAGTGCCTATATGACAATAGGCCAGTCCTTTCCCCTGCCTTTAGAGTTATTTTTTGTATGCTTTTTATTTTACAGATATCTATTCAGATCATCTGCAATCCAATTTGTGTACATACTCGGCAACCCAGAGGTAATTAGGCTCCGTCCTTTAAACATATCAATTGCTTTACACTATAAAATGCAAATGGAAACAGGACAGTATTTTAATAACATCCTTGACAGATAAAGGAAATTCATTATTATTAATGGAATACTCTGATGTTCTGATGATAACCAGCAAAGGAAGACTCGAGAGTAACTTGATAAATCTGCTCTTTGGGATGGCTTTTGCTAACATAGTTTAAAAGAAACCGGAGCTTCACATAAAAAGTAAGTATAAAGCTAAGTATCAGACAGCAGTGAATTAATACATTTTAATGCCACGGCCGCACAAAAAATTACGTGAACATATGCATTCACACAGTTAAAAGATATAGCTAAAATAACTGCTTAAACTGAGCCATAAACACCGTGCAATTCACACTGCACACACAAAAAAGCCCAACCTGAAGGGCAAATCAAGAGATAAGGTTAGATATAGTCTAAGAATATAGCTGGATATAGTCTGCAGTTATATCCTTACAGAAACCAGACAAGTCTATTCAATTTGTGAGGAAAAAAAAAAAAACAGGCTAAAAAATGTTAGACACATTTTAAATACCTGACTTCCAAACAGAAGAGGAAAAAGACAAACAACCCTCCCGCAAATATTTACCTTATTGCAGTAAAGCATCCAAAGCTCATACAGCCTCTCTCGGGATGCCATTCCTTCCCTTGCTCTTTTCGCGACAGCAGCTACTTTTGCTCAAGATCCCACCATGCTCAGTTCCCAGGTGCTCTTTCCGTAGATTTTACTTTATTATTACAGTTATATCATAACCCGAAGAGTCAAAGATGAAAATAACAGCGTCTCAGTCTCTCCTTATCGGGTAAAAAGCGTAGCACAGCACAGGCAACCGCACGCAAGGGTCAAGCATGCCCGTTCTTCGCCAGCGCCTCTTCGGTTTTGATCTCTGAAAGTGAAAACATACCCTTCAGGCCTTTGGTGGAGGAAGGAAATAACAAATCCGCACTTAAAGCCCACAGACGACCTCGGGAATTACGCGGCGGCAGGTCGCATCGTTTTCGTGTCTGACATTACCGCCCCTACGACTGAGAACTCTGGTTTCTGATCTCCGTGACGCTTTCTCCTTTCCTGCAGGGAAGCAGAAGGGCAGCTGTCCCGGCGGAGCCCTGAGGCGGCTGTGCTAACGCCCGGAGGGGGCGGAAGCCCCCTGCACGCCTGGGCCCCGGCCCGGCAGTGGACAACCGCTGCCCTGCTCGCCCCACGCCCGGACTCTGCAGCGGCCTCGGAGCCCGGCGGGCACAGGCAAAGTCGTCTCCCGCAGCCTGAGGGCTGCCTAGGAAGAGGCGCTGCCCGCAGCCTCCCCGCTCCCAGCAGGGCCCCGTGCTGCCCCGCCGCCCGGTCCCGAGCGAAAGCAGCTGCCCCGTGCCGCCACCTACCGCGCCCTCAGCCTACCGCGGCCTCTCTCCCCGCAGCCTTCCCGGGCCACTGCGGGCGGCGGCTAGGCAATGCCGCGCGTCAACCGGGCGGCGGAGGAGGCCGGACCTCGCCACATCGCCCGCCCCGCCCGCATTCCGGCACACGCCCCGGGCCGCCGCCGAGGGGCGGGGAGGCCGCGAGCGCCATCTTGGCTTCGGGCAGGGGCAGTACCGCCAGTGCAGGCGGAGTGACGAAGGCAGGGGCCGCTGGCTGGACCGAGGGAGGCCTGTGTGGAGGGCTGAGGCCGCTGTGGAAGCTGTGGTAGCTGTGATAGCTGTGGTGGCAGAGCCATACTCAGCACACGGCACTTCACCCGAGGAGCTGGCGGTCCCTGTAAGGTGACGCGACCCTCTTCTGCTCGAGTGGTCTCCTTGCCTGTAAAAGGATCGGCATTCCCAGTCCTTGCGAGACCGAGCACCTCAGGAAACGTCTGCATTGCTTTGTAGGCAATAAAGCTGATGAAGCACGTATATGTGTTTTACACACAGTCCAGAGAGGCCTGCCTCCGTAGCCTGAGGAGTGTGGACATGTATGCACATACAACCTGCTGCTGCTTTAAAGCAGTCTACCTCGTATGCAGAGCTTGAGTAGAACTAAGAAAACACTCCTAAAATAAAGTCAGATTTCTAAAGGAGGAATGTGAAAAGACATTCTTCGCTTGCTGCTGTCGCTCTTCCCAAACATGTGGGTAGTGCACTGACCCTCCCAAAGGCACAGTGCTCCAGCGAGGGACTTTCCTCCCGCTCTGCTGTCTCAATAGTAGGATCCTTCTAGCATGGCCTGCTAGGGAACAGGCTTCCCTCTGTATTCCTCTGATCCCTTGGAAAGTGGGGCGGGAAATTAATGCTGTGTCAGGCTCCAGTGCAGTGAGAAGGAGATTTAAGGAGGCCTGGGCCTTCTCCTCCAGGTTGCTGTGAGGCCCTGCAACCTCTAAACACAGCCCTGCTCCTGCCACCGGGTCATCTCCTCACCTGGGTAAATCTCATGCAGCATCAGGTGATGAAGCATCCATTGTGCTGTCGATTCCTTTGCAGGGGATTTCAACACCACTGCAGTGATTTCACATGAGTTTTGAAAGTGCTTTGCAAAGGCGTTGACTGTGCAATGTCATTATACTGCCTGCTGTACAAAAAATTGTTAGGGATGGAGAAAACAGTCTATTTCAAACTTCTCTTACAATTTGCTCCCATTAAAAAAGTCATGCAAAAACCCCAAAACCATGCAAAACCACCAATCCTTCCTTGAAATACAGCTCAGTTTTCTTGCATTATTAGCTTTTACCAGTGATAGTAGGTGCTCCCACATAAAGAAGTCCTGCAGTAGACTCCACTAAAACAATAAAAACCACCTACTGATAGAGATGGGAGACTCCTTCCTTCTTAAGTGCTGCTGCCTACCTAATTGAGATGCTCACAGAGTATAAATCAGCCATTTCCTACTCTGCTGGAATTGTAATGACAGTTATCCTAGTGGGCTTAAACAATTGCTGCTGCTTGTGTAGATAGTTCTTGCCTTTCATAAGTGCTCTGGAGGGAGAGTAAAACGTTTATAGCCTGTTCCAGCAGCATCCAGGGTGAGTAGTCTACTGATCTGATCTTCCAGAGGTTTTTCTTTAAATAGCTTGCTCACTGTAGAATTGTTATGATGACTTTTAGATGTCTGTGTTGCCTGGTGTAGGACAAGTTTGATATTTCCCTGTCAGTATAGATAAACAGGCAGTATTCATTGAGTTCTTTCTCATATATAAATTTGAGCAACAAAGAGAGGTTAGTGGGGAAAGGTGAACTACAGCTCTGTCCCTACAGGTGTAGTATAACTCAAGAGTGAAATTATAATTCAATATGCTTACTGTGATAAAGACTCAGCTAAGGATGTGGAAGTCGAAGAATGGAGGGAGGATGTAAAAAGAAGCATTACTAGCTTTGTACGGGTACTTTAAAGTGTGACTGTATGGATTGGTCTAGCAATGAAAACTAATTACCTAACTTTTTATCATGTTTTCTTCCATAACTATGTATCAATTGTTTCATGGATCTTAAATAGCCAGGTAGGCAGTGTTCATTTGTATTTCATTGTCCCCTTAGCTGCTGTCTTGTGGTAGCTGTCTGTTTACAGCAGTGGTTGTTTTTCATACGTTGTACATTATTTGTGGTTTTGTACTTTATCTCTTTTCAGTGGCTGCATATTAGTAATTTAGTCTTGCTATGAACTTGTTAGTCAGCAAGTTCAGGTAACAGAAAGGTTAGAGAGAAGGGTGTGAATAGGGAGGAAGCATGAGTTTGACATTAAGGAAAGATTCAACAAAGGAGTGGACTGCATTGAATTGCAGCTTTGAGATCAAGGACCTCTGAAGTGGCAGGGAAAAACACACACTTTATAGTAAAGCTTTTGTTAAGTTATACTTATTTTTCATAGGAGGTAATGAAAAAGATACAAATCTGTATCTGACTTTCAGATACTCTCAAACATGCTGTTTGACTGTGAGGCTTCTACTGAGATCATGCCCAGGAGCAGCAAAAATCATGCTGGGGTACGTCAGTGGCAAAGCTTTTATCTGAGGGTTTCCTTGATGTCTTGGGGCTAATGATTTGTTTACTAACAATGAAGACCTGAATTATGCTTAAAATTGAACCTGCCTCTCAATTCTTCCACCTTCCTATACAAACAGACCCTTGTACAGAAGCAAGGTGTAATCTGTACATTCCAAGTAAACAAGTGGCCTTGGCAGCTGTGTTTAAAATTCCCACTATCAAAATATCTCTTGGGTCTGTAAAGAAGTAGGGCTTTGTATATACTAGTTTCTAGCCATTCAAACCTAATTAACCTGAGACTGCATTTGGTGGGCTATTAGAAAGGAGGAAGTTGGCCTTTGCAAGATGTAGCCTCTGAGATGGTGTTTTGCAGAGGGTAGCACAGGATCAGCTTGCCTTGAGTTTCTCTGACTGTGATTGCACAAAATGAGTGTGCAATTATTCTATTAGGTAAGGCAGCACACTTAATTGGTGTTTGTTCTTCCTTCTGTCACCATATTCACATTGTACCCTGAGTAGCTCAGGGCTTGTTAGCTGCTTGCAAAATTTGGAAATAGGAAGGAATTTGTTTGCCCTTTGACACATAAGCTGATATCTAGGCATTTTAGTTGCTTTCTTTCAAAGTGTTGGAGACTGGCCAGAGCTAAAGCTGGGAGGTGATGGTCTCGCTAGTAGCATTAAGTCCCTTTGGCCCCTGGGTGCTCTGTTTCATATATGCAGGGTTAAACCATTAACCAGACTCAAAATTCAGGAAGGAATTTAGCCCAGGGTAGCCTGGGACCATGGTGAGTGTTTTTGTTGTTCTTTGTCCTTTCAGCTTGTTTCCAAGGGGGGCCTTCAAGATAATGAATCCCCTGCTGTAAAAGGCCCAGGATCTCTTCTGCTGCTTTTCTATAACATAGGCTCCCTTACCAGAGGCTTTAGGTTTGCAGCTGTGCTAGGAATGTTCTTGTTTAAGGTACATATTAAAGATTCTTCCAGCCTAATTAAATAATATGCTTTTGTCTGCTTAGGTTCTTACAGGCTGTAATAGCCAGTAAAGATTCATGATGGGTGTTAAGGCTTAGAACTGCCCCTCTGCTGTCGTTAGGTTATCTATGCTAGAACTAGCACGTGTAGACTCTTGCTATAGCTGTCTTTGTTTTGCAGATGCTCAAAGATACCAGTTGTTAGTGCACAAATTTGCGTTGTGAAAGTGTTCTCCTTCCTTCACCAAACTCACTTTTCACTCAAAGTAAGCCCTTACTCTTCACTATTTTATGGCCAGTGATCAGTGAAGTTACTGTACTTGGACTTGAAATGACTGTGCTTTAGTTAAGCAGCTGTTTAATGAATGCTTTCACTATGTTGCAGAGCTCAGCAGATTTGGATCTACAGCATGACTCCTCAAAGCAATCTGTATCAGGGGAGAAAAAAATCCTAACATGGCAGCAAGCAAGGTTTAAAGATGTGTAGGTGTTGGTAGTCTCTGATGATCTGTCTGTACTTAATTCCCTCTCAGCTGACATGATAAGCTTGTCCTGAGAATGGATGCTATAGCAACTTGGGGCCTAACTCCTCTTTGTGTGGGGAAGAATGCAAATGAAGGGAAATAACTAAAGGGAAATGGGCTCAGCTCTGACTGCTGCTAGACTGCTCCAACCTTGCTGGGGTTCTTGCAAAATGTTAGAACTGTGGCCTCCCAGAAGTTAGATGTTGGTTGCAGCACAGTGCCTGCTTTTGAGTGGGATGTGAAACTGAGGGTGTGCCATTCCCTGTGTCTTTGTGAATCCTACAGGGACTCTGCTAGCTTACTCCTGACACGGGCAAGGTATAGAGACCTGAATGATGGCTAGTGTTGTGAAACATGAAAACAGAGTTTTAAAGATCCTGCAAAATTATGTCAACAACAGTGTGCTGTTAAAAGTATGTGTGAGATTTGGGCAGGGGCCACTTGCACACTGAATGAATTGTAGACTCTTTAACATAATGGGTCTCTCTTCTGGTTTTTAACCCCAGACATTAGAGAAAGCTCCTGCTTCTCTGTGCTGCTGAGGGTCAACATGAGTTCATGACTACAGACAGTGTGAGGTCCTGGCTAAACAAAAGAGCATAGTGTAGGCCATGAGCTGGAAATAGGAGCCATTCAATCCTGTGCAGGACTCTGGACTTAATGCTAAGTGGCAGCAGGAACTACTGGACACCAGGACTCTATTATCACAAAGTGAACAAGCTATTGAGAGATTTATTTTGATATCTGTAACACTACAAATAGTAGTTGACAGAGATAATTTTGATTAATAAACATGGTAAATACTGTAAATGCTTTGCTTTGTCTTAAGTCATCTAGTGTCACAGATGCGGGTTTGGTATGCAGTACCTCCATAAGGATGCTGTGACTGTGAGCTTACTAGCCTATTCACTGGAGAACTACTTTGGAGAAGGACATTGCTTTCAGGGGGCCATTCAAGATGCAGGGTACACCCTATAATAAAGTGTAGGGTTTGTCCCATGGACTCAGTGACAAATGGATTTTTGTTATCATAAATGAATGTTTTCCATTTTTTCCTCTAAGGTCTGAAATAATACTTACCTTCAAAGATGCTACTTTTAAACTATCTGACACTGCAGATAAAAATTCAGCTTGGCAATTTAGATGCAGGTTTTCTCTGAGCTTGGGTGTTACCAGCTCCATTTCCTCTGACTTCTGGGGAATTAGTCCTACCAGTAAAGCAAGCATACGGGCTCTGAAGCCCACTGTAGTCAAGGCTGGCTGGTGGGCTTTAAATCAAAAGCTAAAAGCATTGCAAGAAAAGGGAGCCTTAGGTGGCAGGTTTTTTTTTTTTTGCTTTTTCTCTAAGACGATGAACTGTTTCAAGACTGTCTCTGACTCTTGTATGTAGCACAGCTAAGATCTGATGTAGAAAAATACTTCTTGCTAATGCTCAACAGTTTCTGCAGGTGTTCAAGTGCAGTTGTATAGACACAAGATTAATGCTGCTGTACAAAGACCAACACCTTAATTGCTCTAAAAAAAAAAAAACAAACAAAACCCCCCAACCAAACAGAAACCTACCAAAAGTGAGCCCAACAGCACTTTAGTATCACCTTCTATGACCAAGTAGCCTTCTTGGTTGATGTGAGGTGCATAGTGGACATTGTCTACTTGGATCTTTCCAAGGCTTTTGATAGTTTCCCACAGTCTCCTCCTAGAGAAACTGACTCTATGGCCTTGATGAGTGGTCTCTGCACCCAGAAAATTGTGGTAAATAGCTCCTTAGACTCTTCCCAGGAGCCTCCCAAGTCAACTTCCCTTCAGTCCATCTTGTTCTCGCCCTCCTCATCTCTGACTTCTTTCCCTCTACAGCTTGAAAGGACACAAGTGTCTGCACTAGCTTTCAGCACTTCGATCCAGAACTTGGCTTAACTAAGTGAAACCCAGAACTGCATGTCAGCGAAAACAATAGCTGCATTATCTTATGCAGATGGAATGTATTTGGAAACTTGCTGTGATGGTTTATGAAGCTTCTACTGGACAAGGAAACTGAGTTGTACAGAAAGCTTATAACATGGGTGAACTTAATTTTGCATGAATATTGGAAGGATTCATTCCAGCATGAAGGCTATTCCTGGGCCAAATCTCAGATCCTTAGCCTTATGTGTGAGTACTGAAATATTTCACATCTTGGCAACCTTTTCCCTCTTAGTAAAACTTTTCCAGGGAATGACTCTAGAAGAAAAAACACAGATTTATTCTATGCTGAATTATTCAAAAAAATCTACCATGAGGCAAATATGTGTTCATTTGCAGTTCAAATATATGGTGGTGTTTCTACAATGAGAAAATATGTGTCAAGTTGCCTCTGTAGTAGTATAGTCACTATCTTTGCCTACCTTGAAAGAAAAACATTGACTGGGGTATGGAGATGTTTAGTTCTCAACTCTGTACTAAACTTCTTTGTTTAGATCATGTATAGCCAAAGTGGGTTTATATATATAATAGATATGCTCCCCATCTGCCCCCCAGCAAGCACTAACCAGCCATCATTTGATTGGGAATCCTAACTGACTTATTTACCTCTTTGGGAATCTAAACCCCATTAGGTGAACTTTGTAAGTGTCCTTTCTATTAGCCTTCTTCTAACACAGAGTTGTCTGGGGAAGTTGTTACTTGTGCCAGAGTTGTCAAAATGGCTTGTAGTGCTCTGATTCCAATATAGGCAGTAGCATACATGGAGATGGCATGGAGAACTCCTGTAATGATACAAGACTTAATGGAGTCACTGAAGCCCATCCCATCATCTCAGAAGTACTGGTGACCTATGTAGCTGGGACATTCATGCATTTTCCATCGCTGTAGAGTAGCAATGGTTGAGGTGGGCACGCAGGTGTGGCTGGACTGTGGGCCTTCACAGGAGCAGCCCTGAAAGTCTCTGTCATCAAAGAAAGTGATTTGCAATAAAACAAAAGTAACCCTGTCATACTGGAAAGTATTTGAAAGCTGGCTTTGTTTGCGTAGATTGTACAAAACAATCCAAAGACCTGAAAGATCCATAGGGACACTTGTACCAGGTCCAAAGACTAGCAAAGCCTTTATGTTTATTTTCTATAGAATGAACACACCGTCAGTGGTGTTTTTATTTGTCTGTTACTACAAATGACAGGTGGATATACCTTTGGGACTCTGGGAAGTGGGGGGCATCTCTCATCATGATGATTTCATGCTGGAAATAGCCTGTCAGTAGTTTCATGACAAGTTCTTGGAGCATTTGGAGAAAGTGAAACCCAAATTGTTCTTTGACTGAAAGCTTCATGGATGACTTCTGTGTATCACACAGTCATTCAACTTTTGCCCATCTCCTGCACCCTGTCCTGGGCTCCTAGAAATCTTCTGTAATGTGGAATGTGGACAAGGGAAGACATAATTTTCCTACAGCTGGATTACACTGAAGCTTTCACCTCTCTTAATGATACAGGAACAAAACAAGACTGTTATGCATAACCCGAGTTAATCATTGAGCACTCTGGGTCCTGTTGGGCAGCTATATGTTAACAGCAGTAAAACTGAGTAAGAAATACTTAAATTCAGTAGCATTGTTTGGTGATATTTGTTACATTTTGGGGGACAGAGTACTTCAAACTTATTTTCCTGTACATCTTAGTCTAAGATTATATAAATTTTAGGTCTCTTTCATCATCTGACAAACTCAGAGGGAAACTAGAAAGACAGAAAAACAAAGCCAAAAGATTTCTTATGCATAAATGTTTTGGCATTTGAAAGTTTCCAAGTACAATATAGGCTTTCTTTAGGAAACTCATCAAAGACCTAGACAATAAAACCACCGCTTGAGGTTTCCCCATAGCTAATTTGTTGGTAGATCACCAAGCTATGTTTGCAAACATCTTGCCTATAAGGAGCTATGCAGGTGCTAGGTTGGTTGTCAGTGCTCCAATCATTCAGCTGTTCTTACTTTTGCAGTTTTTATTAGGATTTAATTGTGAGCTCTCAGCATTCAGGAGTTGCAGCAGTCCTTTATACACAGTGGTACTTCCACAGGAATTAGATGAAAGGTAATTTTTTGCTCAGCAAAGAGAATTGATGTTTTTTCCCTTCCCTTTCTCCATTATCATTCTCTAAACAAAAGTCAATAGCAGTAGTTGGGGGTGGGGGTACAAAATTTATTGGTATTGTCAGTAAGCAGAGAATCAGACTAAAGGGGAGGTCAAGTAATATTTCTTTAGTTATTTTACTAATGGAAGACATGCAAGTGATAGTGCTGGAAGTGCTTCAGCAGAATTGTTTCATGTCACTGTTTTTACTCTCCTCTGTTTTACTTGAGAGATATACAGATATCTTGAGTCACTGAGGTAAAATGCAACAGCACATTAATTTCTTCAGCTGAAGAAACTTTAATTGCAGTTGAACTTAAATAAAGAAAAAGCTGTTTAGGAAGAATGCTCTAAGTTTTCAGTGTGATCTGATTAATCCCAAAGATGCTAGGGCTGTTCATTCTGGACCCTTGCTTGGTGAGGTGTAGTGCAATTCTCATTCAATCAAAACATTGTAGTTGTCTTTAGAAGCCTGGGCAATAGGCAGCCTCAAACTCAGAGCTGGTTTGAATTTATTTGAAGGGCAGGCTGAAGCTATGTACTTTGAGGCTATGTAGGTAAAGTTATTCTGCTGATGGCCATCTTTGGGTTCTAGCAGGAACTTTTTCCTCAGTTTGTCTCATTTGAGTAATGGGAGGTAGCCCAAGAAAAAGTGCATTTTCATATTTCCTGCTCATACTGCATGGAGCAACAGTAGATCTTTTTGTCTCACTGGCTTCTTGTTCAGACAAAAAGCAACATGGTTGTACTTTCTTGCTTGAGTCTTTCATTATGAGTCTTGTATGGTGATTTCATGAAGCTACAAAACTTTAGGAGTTAATCTTTAGCTGGTCTGGTTTTGTACAATGCTAGTTGTGCTCCAGATGGGTGTTCAAAGTGGTATCACTCCTGCCAGTCTCTCTCTCTTGGAGGTGCTTCCTCAGCCAGGAAATTGTAGCCTTTAACACTGGAAGGAGAATGAGGGAAGAATGTGAATTAAAGTCTGACAGTTGGTTTTGAATGCCTCCATGCTTTCTTTGGAGCAAAAAATAACTTCTTCCTGATGGTTAATGCTAAGCAAATTGACTTAACTTACAGGAACAACTATGTGCAGGCCTGTGCTTGCATTTCTCACAGGTCTTTGACAGGCTCAGAAGTGTCAGGCTCTTTTGGTTCTTTCTGTGGTCATGCCTGCTTTGTAGAGCCAGTTTTCCTTTTGGGTCCTGAATGGTCCTTCATAGTTAATACAGTGGGCACAGGACTTGGTGATGAAGTCTGGAGTTTGAGAGACCAGAGTAGGAGCAGTAGTACATGAATTCCTTATTATAGCTACAAATGTAGAGCAGCCATCATGAGTCAGATCAGTGGTTCAGCTAATCAAGTAACTTGGCAGCAGCTGTGATCATGAGTAGGCATCATGGGAAAGGTAGATTTGAAGCAAATACATATGATACTTTCTTCAAACTTCAAGACTGCAGTAATTTTAGCTCAAGAGGTTTCCTGGTCATGAGGTTGCTTCTTTCTGGTTAATAATCCTCAGTGAATTTGTCTTACAGGTACTCATCCAGCTTCTCCTTGAATCCTGTAGACTTTCCCCTCCCAGGACCCTATGACACAGATGGGCTGAGCACTACAGGAAGGGCTGCGGTTTGATTTTAAACTCTAGAGCCAAAATATCTTGTTAGCCAAATAGTATCCATGAGCTAAGGAGTCAGGTTATTCACACCTGTTTCAACTGCTGTCATCTAGGATGCTGCTAGAACAGCTGCTTTTACATGGAGATTGCCTGATTTTTCACCCCAGAAAAGCTCAAGCATAGGGATACTCTGTAAATAGCAGCGAGTGTTTATGTAGAGAAACCTGCCCTGCATGCTAGCAACTGGAGTGCCTGCTACCAACCATAAAGCAATCCACAGGAACCTGGAAGACATGTTAGCAGAAACTTGGATGCTCTCTGTGGATTTCCAGTGTTCCTTTCCTCTGGCACCCTTGTGCTTACTGTATGTTTGAGGTTCTCTGAGCATTTGCAAGCAAAAGCAACTAAAACCTTCTGGTCCTCCTTGAAAACTGGGGATTCCCAACATTCCTGTCTCAGGTGGAAAAAAATTGGAGAGGTTTGGCCATCCCCAAACTCTCGGATGCAGCAGAGACAAGAATCCAGACATCCTAAATAATTGCTCTGATCACTGTAGTATATTTCTGTTCATTCTTACCTTTGACCAAAGGAATGCCAGCATGTAACCTACACATCAGTACTATACATCACATATTTCTCAATTGCTCTAATTGAACTAGCTACTTTACTGAAGTACATGTGCATATGTTAATTGCTGTCTGGGGGGTGGTCTGTTTTTTTCTTGCTGAAGGCAAATGAAATGGTTTGGTTCCCTGTTCTAAGCAGGCAAGTAGATACTGCACTTAAAGTGCTGTATTATTTTGCAAACTTGGGTTAGCACCCTAACCTAAGCATGCTAACACACTTACTACTTATACTATGCAGTTCCTATAGATGCAAATATCAGGCATTTGTGAACAAGAGGAAACATGTTTTTGCACACGCCTCCTTGAAAGCTGAATTGTTCATGCTCCATTTCTCTCTGGCTGAAGCATGGTGTTCTTATGCACACCAGACATTTGCAGCAGTTCAACAATCTACTTTGT